CTAGAGGATGAGGAACAGCAAGCTAAAGGATGAGGTTCATTCTACCTGTGATAAGCACATTTAAGTACTTAAGGGAAGAAACCAGTGAGGGGAAGATCAGATATACTTTAATTGGTGAGGTTAGACCCTTAGTGAGATATGATAGAGTAGTAGTGACCAATATTTAGAAGGTAGAATCAATAGGGCTTGGTGACTGGCCAGACAGGCAGAGGTGGGAGGTGATCTCCCTAGTGTTTCTGACCCCAAAGGAGACAGGACAAAATATAGAATAACAATTGTTTTATTGCAAGGGTTTGGCTCTGGTTTAGATTAGAATTTTGGAAGAGTTAAGTAATATCTATTTTTGAATGTTCAAGAAATACACCATCATTATTCAAGTACTGTATCTTGAAAAATTTCTAACTGTCCTGTCTTAGAGATAAAAGAAGTATAGTAAAAAAATAATGGAGTCAGAAGTCCTAGATTCACAGCCTCTAGAATGACCTTTGGAGAGTTATCTTGACATACCTGATCTGCTTCTCCCTCTACCATCTGACTGGGACAAGCAGTAACACACAGAGGATCTGCAGAGGGAGTGATCCACCCTGGTGCAGCTGACAAGAGCTATGCTGTTTGTAGAGAATTCCAAAACAGTGATAAAACTGACTAAAAGTCATCACTTGTTTATTATCACCCTGAACTGACAATTCTAAACAATGTCAGGGATGAAATTCCCACCCTTGGTAACCATGGGATACTAATACCTATTGCATAGTATACTTCATAATAGTAGAGGCTATGTAACATGGCACATAAAAAGCTATAGAATGTAACTTTTAAGCAATGTATTTTTTCAAATTAATGTGACTTGTGAGATTTGGAGAGAAAAGAGTGGTTCTGTTCTCTGTTATTTAGTTCATTTTTAATTTTTTTTTTAAAGTACAGCTCTTAATCTGTAGGAAAAAGTACATGGTCACACTGAGTTAGTGATAGTGTCACTTTTCTTAGGTGATTTTCTTTGCCACAGAATTTTATAAAGACCAAATGAAAAATACCATAATTGCTTTTGTGTAATATGGAAATTAAAATATTAATTTTGGTCAGGTAAAACCACAGAACTAATGACAGGGTCAATATGGATTTATTGGGTGATAAAGCCTGGTAAAATAAATAATTCAGTTTTTGTATGCTTAGAAAGAAAATACTAAGGTTTACCTACCTCACAAAAGAGTCTACTCAATTCTTTGAAGGCATCACATTAAAAGAGAATATTTTAGTGCTTCAATCTATGACAGCTATTAACAATCAAATATTTTTAACAGGCTCACAGATAAGAATTGTCT